CCCCAACACCACACAGGCTGTGGCGAAGTCATCAATGCTAACGCTGGAGTAGTGAGCAGCCCTGGTCACCCCAGCTTCTACCCGCACGGCCTCAACTGCACGTGGTACATCACGGTGGACCCCGGATACATCGTACGTCTGTCCTTCCACATGTTCAGCCTGGAGAACGGATGTAGCTTCGACTTTGTTGAGGTCTACGATAACTCTACGATGTATATACCCAGCAGACTGGGCCGGTACGTGGAAGGTTGTGGGGGGATGGTTGGAGGGTGGGTGCTCTGCTGTGCTGACATAATGAGTAACTTCTCGGATTCAAGCCTTATGGAAAAAGATACATCATGCTTATAGGTGAAATTATTACAATTAATAAGTATGAAATAATAAGAGACAGGTTTTAGTTAAAGAATATGGCATTAATAAAAATTCTACAAATTTGACCCTTGTGTCGATTTTTGGCCAATATCTTCATTTGTGGCTTGTGAGAAGTAACTCATTTTGTCAGCACGCTTCACATATTATTTCTCAATCAAACATCTATCTTTTCCTTCTTTTCTTTTTACGTTACAATCTAGTCACAGCTCTAGTCTTTGGCACTTCTATATCCTAACCTTGTTACTAGGAGGGTGAGAAAGTGGGTGGTTTGCGGGTGCTCTGGTGTGGTTTGCTCATATTATTTCTTAATCAAACTTATTTCTTTTCCTTCTTTTGTTTGTACATTATTACTTAGTCACACCTCTAGTCTTCGGTATTTATAATTTAAGCTAATTGCATTGCTAGGGGCTTAAAACTCTTTACTAAAACTGTCTACCCAGCTGAGTGGGCCAGTAGTAAGTGGAAGGATGTGGGTGGATGGTTGGAGGGTGGGTGCTCTGCTGTGGTTTGCTCTTCCTTTGTAACACTATCCGTCCGTTGCGTTTTACTATCGTATCCATAGGACGTGGGGAATTCTGTGCCACCACTTAACCCTATCCGTAAGTCGTGTTTTACTATCGTATCCATACGACGTGGGGAACTCTGTGCCACCACTTAACCCTATCCGTAAGTTGTGTTTTACTATCGTATCCATACGATGTGGGGAACTCTGTGGCACCACTTTCCGAAGAGGAAATTTACTCGTTAATCCGATCAGTACGTTTAGCATAGCAGTCTGTCAAAATAATTTTTTTGAGAAATACTGAAAGTTTCAAAGAGATGTTTGTACTAGAAGTATTCTAAAATGGGAAGAATTCAACCCCGGGGTACAAAATGACACCAGGGCGTACGGTTGCTCTGGTGTGGTTCTCTAATTCTTCTTTTTGATTTGTGCTGATAGAATTAGATGTTTTTATGGGTGCTCTGTTAGCCCAGTCAGTATAATTGTTGTGCACACTGACCGCTGACTATAGGGAAAATTCCATATTTAAAAAATAATATGTAAAAGAATAAGAAAACTAATTGAAATCTAAGTTAGTTCATCTCCAACACTCCCTGTTATTTTTATCTACTTTTTTCACAGTGTCTATCCGGAGACACCTCCAAAAGAGATAGACCAATCAAAATGCTTTGTGCCTCTATACCAAGTTTTAAAAAAAACTGGGGGGTTACATATGTTTTAATACATATTTTGATATTTTGCAGTTAGGTTTGAAATTTTTTGGAAAAGAATTGGTTTACGACAGTTTTAGTTGCTATATGTGTGATCTGCAGTGAACAATACGTAGTTTGACTCCCGCCTAAACAGTGCATCTGTGTGCGGGAGTGCGTCTCCGAATAGTTTATAAGTGCTCGCCGGAGACGTCTCTGAATATCTCCTACCTTATTTTTCTCCTCCCTCAGATACTGCGGCTCCACCTTCCCTCGCTTCCTGACCTCCACCGAGAACGAGATGGTCATCCACATGCGCACAGACGGCAGTGTGGCCAGGGAAGGCTTCTCTGCCTCTTTCGCAGCCCTCAACGCTTCCGCACGTAATTATGATAATAATAATAATAAAAATGATAAT